TCTAAAATTAACATTCTTGTATCTCATCAAGCACCATTATATTGCAGTTTCTAGTCAATGATTTCATTACATCTATTACCACCAAAAAAATCAAGTAAATTTGTAAACTAAATAGTTCATTGGCATAAAGTGATTTTTAAAAGGGGTGAATAATGTTTGGGTTTTTTTCCTAGCAAATAACAAATATTGTGATTAAACCATATTTTAATAGTATGCTAAACTCCAACCCCAACTGATTTGGCACATTTTCCTTTCTGAAACTACCTTTGATAAGAAATGCATTACAAACTCATCAGTTTAGCTTCCTGTTAACAAAGAGACAGCAGCCGTCTGGATTATTCTAGATCCGCAGTGAAACTGCCACACTATGTATGCTCAAACTAAAGCTGTGTAAGTTTGACAAGGGGCAGATGAATCCAGGAGTTATTGTGCAGGGGTTTAAGTCTATGCGGCAGCTGACGGTTGAAATAATCATCTATACATCGCTCTGAGCTAGCTGGGGAAAGGTTGAAGCTGTATATTTTCAACATATCTAGCCTAATGGTTAATCTGTTGTCTTGTACAGGGGGTGCTGGGTGGAATCACAGCAATAGCTGACAGTTTGGAGGAATTGCTGTGGGTATTTTCAGTTGCCTGATTCACAAAGTGGTAGGTAGCAAAGTCTAAACAGACTTGTCGTTGAATGAGGGAAGTCATGCTCACTGTCACTCCCATCAAAAGAACTCTGGTAGCCAAAAGCTCAATCAACATATTGATTATTTGCATTTAATAACACAGGACTGCAGCTTGTCTTCACCCCCCACCCTGTGAAAGCTGAGCCAGATTGCAGAATGGTGACTGCTCCTTTGGAGGTCAGCTGGGAAAATGTTTAGGGGAAAGAGAACAGTTAAGTTGGAGGAAGAAATAAAATATTTCTTCAAACCAAGATAGTTTAACTGTTAGAAACACTCTCTGTACTTCTAGTGCTGGATCTGGCATATCTGCACAGTGACAATGCATTACTCACTACAGAGATTAAGGGGGTGCAGCATGAATTAGACTGAAACAAAAATGAAGTATCTGCAAGTGACAGCTCTGGCTGATGGCTGACTATGAAGGAAAACACTGTGCTAGTGTCTGGCGAAAAACAGTGCTGAAAGCCTAGCAGCTGATAGAGATGGGGGAGGAAAGGAGTAGTGGGTATTGGTGGTGGTTGTTTAGAATGTCTGGTTTTGGTCAGGATATTTTTTCTCCTTTAAAACACATTTTCATCTTCCCTTCCAGGCAAATCATGCTGAAGCCAGTTTCAGCCATTTTGTTGAAAGCAATGTACTGGTATTCTGCCTTGTTACATTTAAATTAAAGCTCAGCCCAGTTTTAAGTTATGGCAAGTGTATGCTCACAAGGAATAAATAGAGATTGCCATAGGCATTAGATTAACTACATTGGTTGTTTTAAAAATGTTCAGGGAGTTGCAGATTGCAATTCAAATTATCTTCATTATAATAAATAAAATGTATAGAAATAGAAACAGGCATGATTCTCTAATGCAGTCTGTAGGCAAGTGTATATTCATTGAGCTTGAAAGGGAGTTCCTGAGGGTGGAGGTAAGGAATAGGAATATCAAAATACCTTTACAATTGCATTAATATCTCACATCTTATAGACATTATTTTAATTCTCTCATGGTAACAGGTTTCTTGGGCAAGTTCTATACAGCATTTACTAAAAGTAGGTACTATTCACTCAGGGTGCAATTAGAAAATACTACAGAAAATGGAATGTCTTACCCTTACTCTACTCTTATCCTGTTCCTTATTGTTTACCATTCTTGGAAAGCAGTTGAAAGTTTGCTCTCAAAATGACCAGTAAGTGTCTCTATTCTTAGGTACAATAATAATGCCTTACGGATACACAAGTGTCCTGAACAGTTCTAAGGAACTTGGGCAGAATAAACAATCCAGGCAGCACACTCGTCCTGTGATCATTTGCATTGAAAATAAAGTCATATGTTATATTGCATAAAAAGAAATTAATCTAACTATGAGTAGAAAAACAGTTCTCTTTCAGTAGACTCACTGGTGCTAAACTCATCACATACTTGGAAGAGAACCCTTGTGGACTTGGAGGCTGTGCTTTGACACTGCACAACAGTACAACTAATTACCCCAATCCAGACAGTTTGATTGCCAAACCTAGAGAGGCAGTGACAACATGTAAGGATGTATTTAGTTTCATATAACTAACAGCAGTCTTCGCTTCCCAAATATGTTTTCTGTGGAAATCAGCCCACATAGTGGTGCAAGAACCCAATCAGATTTTAAAGAAATTATTAATAAAAATCAACTGCTTTTGCTGAACAACAGGGTGCTATTTAAGTGGTTTAGGTTCTGCACATTATAGTACATATCTGATGAAGTGACAGTGTTGGCCTGTATTTCTCACCTAATTGTATAATACTGCTTTACTCTGAAAGCACCGTGCTTGCACATGTAGTTTACTGTGTATCCTGACATGCCTGTCTTTGGGGCACAGTGTGCATGCACAACTTGACAGTAACATTTACACTGAGTAACCAGTTTTATTCTTCTGTGGTAAGAAATATATAATTGTAGGAGGAACAGAGAGAGAGATTATTATCTCTATGAAACATGAGATATTCAGATATTATACTATAATCCTTGCTTTTCATGATGGAGTAAAAAGACATGAGCCATAAACTTTTGGAATAAGAAAAAACTTGTCCTATGTACAAGATATTTCACAGTTATCCACTATGGGGCTTCTTCAACTTTCATCTGAAGTAGCTGAGCTCTTGTCAGAGGCAAGAAGCTAGAAGTCATGGAATGAAACCAGTAGTTAGAACTTTTAAATCTGGAATAATTTGACTGAACAAAAAAAGGCAACTTGTTATCCCCATGCTCATTGTTTTGCTTTTCAGTAATAGTACCTGTCCACACTGTTGGAAATAAGGAGAAGTAGGTTATGTTTTAAGCAGCTCAGTCTGCCTTCATGCTGAACAAGATCATGTGGGACTGTTAAATGTGATGCCAAACACCAGATATGAAGCCATTACCAAAAGACAAGTATTTTTGTTCTGACTCATGCTGTGCCACTGCAAGCACAAAATCTTGGGACATCTTGCTCATGTCTGTATGGAATATTCCAAAAGATGTACATTTTTCTGGAACGTTATTGCTTAATAGTGAGGTCTGGTATCTGAAACCATCACTTAGTGAGCTCCAGAAGAGGCTGTAAAAAGATTATGATATTTCTGAAACAACTTGATTGGGGCTGGATAAGCTTACCAAGTTTTGGTCTTCTTCTGTTGCATGTGAAGATACTTTGATGCAGGCTTGTAGATTTTTGAAGATTATTGCCAATATTACTATCTATACTTCAAAAATAGAACCAAATTGATGCATATCTTCAAATACATGCTTGACCGGTGACTTGTGTAGGGAGGGAGGTCTCTGCAGATATATTTTATCATCTGAAAATTGTTTCACCAGAGTAATATAAAAAATAGAAGTACAAAATTTAACAAAACCTCAGAAACTGAGGTAAAATCAGTAATTTTCAAGTGGTGTATCCAATATTATTCACAGTGGGTTTTTTGTGGCAGTTTTCCTAATAAAAGATATATACTCTCCCTCTGATGATTTAAAATATATGTGGACTGTGATGAGTATGCATTATTGTTATTATACTTTAAATGTTTCTACTATTAGTAAAAAGCAGAGTAACATTGTGAATCAGACTCTAGTTCTTTCCTCACTGATTTTTCTATCTACCTCAGTCAGAGTAGTAGCAAGCCATCAATTCAGAGGTCACTGAATTAGAATGGATGCTTTATTACTAGCAAGTTGAACCTTGTTAAAAGGTACCTTCAAATGACTCTTGTAATTCCCATAGACCCACTTTTTTTGCACGAGAGACAGATTTTGTGCTTGAAGAAAAATGGCAAGCATGGGGGTGCTATTTACTTATCTTCCCCGTTACCAGATGGTGTTTCTAGCTGGTGGTAAACTAGACAAAGATGCCAAAAAACATACCGACCTCCTCAATTACTTTGGAACCACTAACTGCTCAATATTCTCCATACAATCTTTAAGGCAATTGAAACATATGGAAATAATGCTGCAGGTTTATCAGTCCACCAACTACTCCCCATCTAACCTCCTTACTTCATAATACATAACTAGATATAAGATCTTACTGGCTCAATAATACACCTTCTTCTCTATACTATACTCATTCAGAATGAAACAAGCATTCAAAGAAAACCTTTATTGCATATTTTTACCAGAAAAACATTTTTTTTTACTGTTTTTACAGAGGGTGCCATTTGTTTTGGGGGGAAGGAGGGTTATGTATTTGATTAGCTTTGATATATTAGTAATGGAAGACTAAGAATCACAGATAACTCCATATTTAGGAAACCAGATTTCTTAATTTTCTTTACAGAGGTGCTTTATATGACCTTCAGAAATTTACGGTATGCAGCACTGCTGAATAGCCAACCCTTTTAATGTAGATACCTAAACATCAGTTTAATTCCATAAGTATGCCTGCACAGTTTTGAAGTGTTGACCTTACGTTTTCTATGATTCCTTATTTATTTTAATAGCAGCAGAGTGCTCTACCTCCCCTGTCATTTTCAGTACTTTCAAAGAAATAAACATCTTCCACACCTAGTAAATCTCTAAGCCTTTATCAACATGTGGGAAATAAGTGTTGCCTCAGACATACTTACTCTAGGATGAGATTATTGCTTAAAGGTGATAATATTGTGGAATAATCCTTTTATGAGTATTCTTTTATAAAAAGACATTTTCAGAAAAGAAAAAAAAGACAACCTTATGAAAGCTGCAGGTATAAACCTCTATTTCTGCTTTTGGAACTGCTACTTAAGGCTTTAACATCTGTATTTCCATGTAATATCAAAACTGATTCATGCCTGTGGTTTGAAATAATTTTTAATACAAAGAAATTAATTTAAATCTTTTCTTATTATTTAGAAGTAAAGAATGCAGCTAGATCAAGTTACCCAAAATGCTCATATCAATTCAAGAATGCAACTACTAATGCATTGGTTGATGCCAAGTCCACTGAAGGAATCCCGGAACCTGTTCCACTTGTTAATAACCGTAAAGGGAGCCTCTTCCTCCCCAACAACCCCTCGCTGCTGCACCTTAACTTACTGAGTTCTGTCGAACAAGGAAAATCTACATACTGTAGATTGCAAAGGGCACTCAGCTTACCTGTAAAATACCGCTGCCACTCCCAAAAGCCTGGGTTGAACCAAGATCTCCGTAGGTAGCCCAGTAGTTGGATGCATAAGGCAACACAGATCGGTTTGTGCATGGTTTTGCAGTCTGTTTTCCATGTGCCTATGACATTACTAATGCTCTCTTAAGTGCTTACAGATGTGGGTTTCTCCAGATGTGGTGATTAATAAGTTAATTGAGATAGCTAGTCAACTAATGTTTCTGGGTGGTTTGTGCTTTACCTTTCAAAGGATTTATTTGCTCTGAAGCATTTACATGCTAGGCAGAATGAATTTACTGGGTATTCCAGTTGATGTGATGTTCAATAACACAGATGTTATTTCAAATTTCAGTATTTTGGGGCCTTTAAAAAGGTGTCTGTAAACTGTTCTGCTAGTGACCCAGGAGAGGCAGTGAAGGGGACAGTTTTATTTTAAAAATAGTAAGAAAATAACAACGAAAAAAAGTTATGAACTTGTCCACTGTTTTGAAAGACATTCCCTTTATTTTGCTTTAGAAATGAAATGAAAAAAGTCAAGTAATATGTTGTTACAGATGTTCAACTCCACATTAAGGCTGTTAAAATTACCAGCACATCTTAAACCAATTCATGGTATATTGTCTGGAGGTTATGTCATTGAAGTAATGAACACTCTTTACTCAAGAGTAAGCAAACATGTTAAAACATCAGTGTAACTTTAAATTAAACTCCAGCACAAACTGGAGCATCTGAAGCCTCATTAGACTTGCCTGACATTTTTCTAGCACTGAATCTTCCTGCAAAACTGCAAAACTGTTATTAGAACAACTGAACTGAAGGTTGATACAACAGTACATTAAGTGTTATACTTAGGGGTGTGCAAACAAGCTCTTGAATCTATGAAATTCTGTGTCCAATTCTTGAACATATTTGCAATTTTCATGAAAGCTGGTAAAGAAAGTCTGCATAATATAATATGGCTGTATTTAATACAAATCCTGTAGTATAAAGACATGAAAAATAGTAAAAAATGGGGACTCATTAACAAAAGCAAGCATACAATATCAGAGTTGAGTTGTCATATATCACAGCCAATTACTCAAATATGGTTGTCTTTCATAAGAACAGGCAAATTTAAGACTCCCTTTTAAATTAATGCAGACACAGGAACCATGAAACTAAAATTATATTTAATTACTTTACTAAAAATTTTGCTAGATCTATTTCTTTAAATATGCAGAAAATTGATAAGAGTATTTTGAAGAATAATAATTAAATATTTTTATATCCTACTTACTACTAAGAAACCACTTGTGAGTTATCATTTCAAAATTTTGGGGAACCAAGCCATAGGTAATGGTGTCCATTATATACTATTCACATATTTCAGCTTCACGGATTCCCTTCCCCCATTCTTATGGAGATGTGTTTCTAAAATACAGAAGCCCTGTAAACTCTGCACAGAGATTTCAATGAAAAGCAAAATCTAGGATTTATGTGATGTGATGAAGATAGATCTCCTTTCATTGCTACAGTGAGAATATATGGCTTCCTTGCTTGAACAAGGCATTGCTTTAGCAACAAATTGAGATTCCTCAGAAGGCTTTGCTAACAGGTGTTAACTAGTGAGCCACATTAACCTTGGGCTTTCCAGGCAATTGGTGACAGTGACACAGTTTGAAGATGACAAGCACATATGCAAAAAAGGAGCTTACTTATTGCAGATGCAATACCAAAAATAAGTGCAGACTGCTAGAAATGTACTTCTAGAAATGGTTATTCTGAATGATTACAGTAAGACTTTGTTTTTAATTGAGTGGCAGGGTAGTATCACCTAGCAACACTGGAGAACACAAATGTTGGACTATGAAGTGCAAAAGCCTCTTATTGTACTAACTTTCAGAATTTGAAGGGATCAGACAGGAGTCTTATTAGCTAGCTGAAAACTTGGAAAAGTACTCTTTTTTAATGCTGTTTTCTCTTGTTCATAGAAATATTTCTTGCAGTAATATCTACAGTTGACTTACGTTAATGTAAGGTTTTGCACATGGTCTTGATCTATCTTCCTTAGACTGTTAAAATAGTGTGACAATACCTTGTGGTGGCATATTGCATCTCTTGACAGACGTGCTGTAACTCCATGGTAGCAGATTAAATTAAGTAAAATTTAGAATTTTTACTACCAGGAGAGCAAACCAGATAATTTGTTGGTTCCTGGCAGGAACATTTTCCATGATTCTTGTTCCTTTGATCTTCTAAGTGGTGGATTCATCAGATTGGAACTGAATTTTTATATCTGATACAGAAAAAGAAAGTACAGTGTATATCTTGAAACCTGTTGTCTGTGTGGAATAGCATATGAATAACTTTTTTTAGAGAAGTTTAAAAAAGACTAGGCCATTTCCGAGAGTGTTTTGCAGAGCATGTTCTGAAAGGCTCAAACACTTGCACTTTTTTTTCAATCAGAAATACAAAGATATTACCAATAAAGTAATTCTGTGCATATTCACTTCATGGTACACATAGCTAAATACTAGAGCTAAATGCTCTAGTTTAATATGAACAAACTGCCACAGAATAAAAATTTCAATTTGTGTATTTTTGAGAATTTTCTATGGGCTTAGTTATCTCTCAGCCAAACAAAGAATGGCACTTGACTGATCATCAACAAGCATTTACACTGCAGGACTCTGATCTGGAAAAAAAGAAAAGTCAAAGGAGAAGAAAATGGCTTTGTCTTTGGGGATGCTGCCCTAGAAGAGGAGAAAGTTAAGTTAACCAATAAATCATTATTAGACAGTCCTTGTTCTAATCTAAATATTATTTTTGTACCACTCTTTGGGACATTTATTTTGGGATTAGCTTTGTTTGGTTGTTTTTTTTTTGTTTTCCCTTTGCAATGCTTTCTTTTGTTGTGAATCCCTTGTGCTTGGTGATGCCCGGTCATATAAAAAGAGAGCACATCTGTCTTTTCAGGGTCCAGTTTTTTGGTCTTGACCAAGGCAAAATGAAGTTCCATAACAGGCTTGGGCAAACAGACAGACATGGCAGGCTAGAATGCAGTCTGTAATAAAATTGTGTCAGAAAAGGGTTATAGCAGAAGGCTGTTGCTTTATTTTCTCCAAGATAAGTCTAAGGCAGGTGGCAGATAACCAGGTTTTGTTGTTTTTCCTATGTAGCTTGTTGCAAATAGTATTTTTTCTCAGCCTCTGCTTGTGCACTCCTAATGTGTACTAAGCTCTTTTAATATAGATACTACTGCTACTATACTAATGTCTTTTCTTTTAGCTTCCTAGGCATCAGTTACATTGTCTTCTAGTATATTTTTTGGTTAATACTAGAATGAAAAAAAATTATTTTTCCTTCTCTATATTAGAATAGATCAACATTAGTGTGAATTTGAGGAAGTAAGCATGAGATTATTCCCTTTGATAGCACATGTAAAGTTTACATGCAGATTATCAAGTGCACTTATATAATCTCGAAGTAAGAAAGATGTTGGTTAATTCTTATAGATGAGTTCTTAGGAAACGGCACTTGTGTAAGCAATACATATTGTGGCATAAGTTATCCAAGAGTAGTTTATGACTGGCAAACTGTACATGATTTTAATTCTAGAAATTGATCTGTCATTGAAAATGCACGTCATCCTCATTAAAAGATTGCATAACACATGCATCCTCTGTTATGCAGGTATTGTCTCCCCACTTCCATTCAACCTCATTCTGTTCACTCCTGTTAAAACTCCCTTTTGTGAGAAGGGTAGAGCGATGAGGTCTGACTTGTGCTGGAGATCTGTGCACAATGGCAGGCTGCATTCACATTCCCGACGAACTGAATCATTGAACATCAAGGCATTGAATATTTTACATCTCTTCATGAAGACTCTGTTGTTTGGCATGTGAGGAGCAAGAACCAACTGGTGTCTAGTTCATTAGCAAAAGCAGGCTGGCAGCTGTTACGTTGATATTTCAAATAGTACTTTATCTGTCTGGAAATATAGCAGAGCACTAATTCTATTTTTCTATAGCGCAGATTAACTGATAATAACTCTAAGAATAACCCGAATGTGGTTCCCCCCCTTTGTTTTTGAAGTATGAAACCAATTTGAACGCCTATGTTCAAACCCCTGATATTCTTCCCTGCTTCTCTTTCAACCCAATCTCTTCGACTAACATGTATTTGATTTTTATTACTGTTGGGCCTATGTTAGCAATGAAGTATCAGTGAGTGAATGGACATAGAGTGTGTGTTCTTTGCTACTTCAGTTGTATTTCACACTGCACTTAGAGCAGTACTTAATCTCATAAGTTCCTTATATTTCCAGTTGAAGATGAGCAGCCGTCGACACTATCACCCAAAAAAAAGCAGCGAAACGGAGGCATGAGAAATTCACCCAACTCCTCACCCAAGCTGATGAGGTAAGACTGTAAGAAACCCATATCTTCATCTGCTTTCTTCCTTCCTTCCACTTCTCCTCCCCCCACATCAAAAATAAGCGGAGGGGGGTGAAAAAAAAGATTGTTAGATGGTTTCTGAAAGGCTGAAGTATTTATTCTGTCAGCTTGTCAGCAGTTAATGATAGAGCTGAAAAAAAATTCTGTCATGAAAAACAGTTTGAAAAGCTGTTTGAAAAATACATAGGCTTTAAAGTCTTAGCTGTCACCCTGTCCTGTCCATGTGTAGTTCTTAAACAGCAGTGGCACTAATGATAGCACTAACCAATCAGGGGAACTCATGTGGTTAGTTTGCCTCAGGCAATTCTCTTTTTGTTGGATTCCCTCTGAGTACTGTTTTCTGTACTTAAGGCCATATGTGAGATGTATCATCACAATCAAAAATGAACCTGAATATTACCTTCCTTTTATCCTGTCGATTGAAATCAAATTTCGGTTAATTGATTTAGACTGATAAAAAAGTCTAATAATATATGTACTTGCCAAAGCAAAGTTCAAAACTAACGCAGTTTTAGTCAAGCTAAAAGCACATTAATTATGAAATACAGAGATTTTTAAGAGGGTAGTATATACTCTAAAAGTGGGTGATGAAAACATCATCTTGTTAGTGATATTTTTCCCCTGTTGCTATGTGTACATTATTTTACAACAGTACTCCTTTGCATAACTATGTAGTTTCCTTCCACAGGACAAATTACCTCTAAGAGATTTGTTAAAATGAGAACTGCAAAAAGAAATTGGAATCTATTAAAATAATATGGCATTTTCATTCTATCTCACTGTGCTTCACCTTTTAACTGCTCAAGTCAGTCAGAATAGGATCACGTTGTAGACATAGAGTTTTCTGCAAGGAGGCTCTTCCTGCTCTGATTTTGCATATCTTAGGCAGTCAGGCTAGAACCTCAGTCCATAATTGTATCAATAAATACTACAGCAGAGATTTTCCACTGTATGTGTGTGTGTGTATATATATATATATATATATACACACACACAAAAATGTAAACTTATTGATACATGTAAACAGACACAATTATGCGATTTGAGATTTATGTGTGTGTATAACTGTGACTGCTCAAGTGAAAAAAAATGGATACAAATATATAATTCTTTTCATATATAAAATCCTTCAATATTTTTATTATTGACAATTATTTTGTTCCTTTAATGATTTTGGATATAGCTAGGTGATATTTCTCTTTGTATTTCAGTCACTAGACTGGAATTTTCTTTGGCCAGTTACAGAAACATCCATATTTGTTTATTGTTTCTGCAATGTAGGGCATATTCAAGGACGTAACTTCTACAAGTCGTCCTCATCTCTGTTTAGACTACAGAACCAAAAGTGAGATTGATTCACAGAAGAAAATGCACCCAGCTGTGGCTTTTTTTTCCCCTATTTACCATCTATTTCTGTTAAATGTATCATTAAAAGCTCTCTGACTTCCTGTTAGTTCAGCCTTGCCCATATGACACTGATTTACATGCTTGTTTACAGTTTATGAGGAAGAATAAAATGAGCATACTGGCAAACTTCTCATTTTTATGGTGCCAGTTGTCATGCTAGCATCGTTTTCAACTTACTTACCTTTGGACAGTCCTCTTATCTGGTGTTAATAGTTTTAACTGCTTAAAATTTAAACATGTGGGAGATTTCCCCCCTCACCTTCCCCCAAATCCTAATTTTGGGGAAGTAGAAGTAAAAAGAAAGAGAGAGGGAGAGAGAGAGAGAAAGAGCTGAAACATTTGGAGCTGAACACACTGTCCCTGTTTGCTATGTAAAGTATGCCTCATTTCTTTGATCTTGAGTAATAATAATTCTGGGGAGTTATACTGTTTTCATATGCTTCAAAGCTGTGTCAAAGTTTTGCTGCTTAAGGGTACTTCTTTATTCTATTGGCTCTTGGGTACTGAGATGACAGGTCCTCTGTACTAGGTGCAGGCTTTTTCAAGTCATAGCCTTCAGCAAAACATCAAATTACCAAATACAGGGTAACATACTTCTACACAAATGCCTTTCCTGTAGATATATTATACCATATATATTAAATACTTTAGTGTTACACGGTACATTTTATGTGCAATAGAAAGTGATGGTTTGAGGTAGCCTTAGGGGTACTTTTTTCCACAAGCAGAAAAAGCTAGTGTATACCGTATCAAGTATGGTTTTTACAGGACTTTCTGCCCGAAGGCCTTTGTAAATAAGTAATGATCAACAGATTGGCTGTGGGTTTTTGAAAAGCATGCCTGTGTCAGTTTGCATGATGGGGGAAGATTTTCAAAGTAGAGCCTGCTTTCATTGCCTGCTGAAGAGGGACTGAGGGAGAGTAGTCGTCCTGAGCCTGAGCTGTCTGCTCAGTAGCACATCAGAATTGCTAAACACAGGTTGAGCAGTGAGTGGAGAACTTGCCAGGCTTCCAAATCCAGACATTGTTTTCTTCCTCTTCTTCGCTGCTGCTAAATTTATTCTCCAGCCCTGTGTTCGCACCCTCAGCCGCTCCCCAGACCCAACCGTCTCTTCATTTTACTTTTTATCTATACTGACTTAACTTTGGTTCAAGGTGCTAAATAAGACAACATGGATTGAATCAGAAGAGAGCTCTGTTAAGCTTTGTTTGTAATGGTCAAACTGTTTTCTTCTTTCCGATAAACAAAGGTGGATTGTATTATCTGCTATTTTGTATCCTCGTAGATTACTTAAAGTGACAGGTACTTGCTTTCCTGCCCAGAAATCTTTAGTGTATAGCAGCTAGAAGTACCCAAGAGGTAAATCTGTCATGTCTGTAGCTGATATTTATTTTTGCAAGTTTTTTCCTAAATTTACTTTAAAAGCTACTTTTCAAAGTCAGTTTTGACCCTGTCCCACCTGCCTTGAAACAGATGGCTACTCTGCAAATTTTTCCTCAGCTATGGTCCTGGATCTAGAGGGGTGCTGGAGGACAAGAAGTCTGGAGCATGAAAAGGACAAATATGTGAGAAGTTCATTTAAAAAAATTTAATCTGAATTGTGACTCTTGAATCACATTCTGAACATCCCTACAGTTAAGATAATGTTGAAAATGCCACATAGATTTTAGATTCCCACAGTGACTAGGTCAAATCAGGGAAGAAGGTATTGTGCTATGGGATAAAACTTTATGACTTCTGCTATCACTGAAATAGAACAGAGCATAGAAACTGTATGATAGGAATTCTCTGGGACATCATGACAAGTGATGTGACCTGGTCAGAAAATGGGAGTTTTTGAGATTTAGTCACACATAAGTAGAAAGCTGTATTACCAAATGTGAACCAGATGAATAGATTGGAGGCATCTTTTTAATGTCATCTTTTTGATGACCCTAAATTACAATGAATTACTGATATAAATAGGTGATTGACATAAAAATGCTCTTTGTGTACATCACAGATGGTCTAGATTCACATTTAGAAAGTCACTGTTCTAACTGAATCCTGCATCACATCAAATGACATGAGCAGAATCACACTGATGCAATACTATAAGAGTCTAATAAATAAGAAACAAATATTTCAAATTCCAACAGTAGCTACAAATGCAGATTAACCAGAAAAATACTCTGCATCATCATGGTTATTTTTACCTGTCTTACATCAGCAAAAGTCTGTCCCATTAAACCCATAAGAACATGGATACTTCTTAAAAATAACTTAAACTCCAACAGGAAAAAATGGCTACTTCTCCTGTTGAGATGTGAACACAAGGGCATCCTATTACAATAAAAAGTAAAATTTAAATGGAAGCAAAAGGAGGAAAAGCTGTGAGTGACAGAATAATCACATATCAGGGCTCCTTCATGAGACAGAGAAGAAAAGTAGAACCAATTGATGCCTCTGGTGTCATGCAGCAATATCAGTCACCTGTTCATCTCAGTTGCAGGTTTTGATGCATATTATTGATGAGCAGCCACGTTAGCTATGTTGCCTGAATATCAAGTAGCAAAGCTAGTTTTTAAAAAAAAATATGTCATTTTGGATTCAGAATGACCAGTAAAAATGTGAAAGGCCTGGATATGAATCAAAAAAGCCACTTAAAAGGATTGTTGCTGAGGCTCAAGTCCATACTTAATGCTTTTCTAGCTGCTACTGCATGAGTGGAATACACTGACTTGAAGGAAATGTCAGCCCAGCTGAGTCAAACTACCTCTTAATGCAAGAACAAATAGCATATGACAGGGCCCAAAGGGCCTGAAGAGCAAACAAATAGTTTGTCCCTGTCCACTCTGTATGTAGTGGTGTAGTTGACACAGGCCTCTAGACAAGTAGCATACTCAGCAAAGGGTCATTATCATTAGTGTCCCTGATCACATAAGAATCAGAGGCATCAGAGGACACTGGGTTTTCAGTGTGTTGCCAAGGAGAATTTCGTAAGCCTGAGGATTTTTTTTGATCGAGGATCTTAAATAATTCCCAACCAAACCATAAAACTTGCTCAGAGACTGTCAAAACCCAGCTAAGTGACACAGAAAAAAGTGAGCTCTTTGGCATACTTTTCCAGAAGCCTAATGAGATTATTTATCTGAAGTTGAGGAGGAAACCTCCTGTCTTTTTTCCTGAAGTTGGATATAATATTCTAAATATATGAACAATGGCTGTGCACATTTATCTCCTCATCCACCCACTAAACCACATCCACTTAAACGTACATACACATTTTTGCTAGTGTGCCACTCAGGATGAATTTGTATTGCCTCTGCCATTGTAGTGCTGCCCTTTCATGAGCTGAAACTGTGAACTTTCTCAGAAAAATGAAAAGAAAAGTGATGACAGATCTAGAAGAGAACATTTCTCAAGCCCAAACTGGTAAAATAATTTCAGTCTGATCATTTCCCATGACTCCCTTAAACTAGGCATGAAGGTAAGGTTTGAAAAGGTGAAAGCTCACTGATAACCATAATAATAGTATATATTTACATCTCTCAGCCTTGGAACTTTCCATCATGTAA